GGGGGTGAATAGGTTTTCAGATCGTCGGATTTCACAGAAAAAATTGCTCGGATCTGGCGAATATTTTACACGGATTTGCGGATCTTATCAATACAGCGGATTGCGAATTTATCTAATATTTTGGCTCGGATTGTGAATTTAGCTTGCAATTTAGTTCGGATCCTGGATTGTGACTTCATAGTAGAGCTTTTAGCGGATTCAAATTTAGACAAGACCATTGTCGGATCGCGGATTTTGCTTCAAATTTGGCCGGATCGGCGGATTTGTATACCCCTATTCCCCTCTATATTGTGGGTCGGGAGCCAGTTGTTCAAAGGTGAGTTAGCCCCAACTCTCGGTTTTGGTTTGTGTATTTCTGCACGTCTGCTTATTTCAAAACTTCGGGGAAGTCAACTCCAATCGACTCGGTCAAGATTTTTGAAGAAACATTCATCCAAATTTGTGGACAAGCCGTCGGGAAGTTTGGTGAGAAGTTTAGGTCTTTCCGACAACCGACCCCTGAAGTTTGCTGGGCTGGTCCACACCAAGAAGTTTTAGGTCATTCTAAAAAAATTATAGTTACATTGCATTCCAATGCGCCCTGATTTTACTCTGTCTGACACCAGGCAATTTTACTCGTCAAGGGGAGAGCACTAGCGCACAATTAGCCCTCTCCTCCGCAGAGGTTCTTTCCCCATCTCCGCCTGCGCGTCTTCCACACAGCGGTTCTATACGGTAAGCGTCATGTAAAGCTCATGCATTGAAACCTCTGCGGAGGAGAGAGCCGACGATCCGAAAACCGTCAAAACCTATTCTCCCCCCCCCCCGTTTCAAATTAAATTACACAAAATATAAGACTACTACATATAATTACAAGATTTAACTGATTGCAGTATTTCACTCGAATAACTGGTGTTTGACAACCTGTGTTTGACCACCCCGATTGGTTCTTGTCAGGTTCATGTCGAGTTTTGTATCCTGATCTGAAAAATTCAGGAAAGTCTGGGTACGAGGTACCTTTAGCCGCGGCTCTGCGCATGCTTGCCTTCCGCAATGCGCATATTTTCAGAACCCGAAAGTTGCATTGCAATTTGCAACCCATGTTTTGCTCCGGGAAAATGTCAAAGATTTCCATTCAACTTTTATTTTGATTGTATTTTCCTTGAAACACTGATGCTCGTCAACGTAAAGAGGTATGCACTGAAGGGCCCGCGCTTTGAAGAAGACATTTGGACCTGAAAATGGTTGGGAATAACAAAAGATACGGAAAAGGAGCAAGGTTTTTGACTTTCTGATCTAATGTTTACTTCCTTTTGGGTTGACTCACGGCATTTTATATGTGGTAGCGAGTACACGAACATCGTCGTTTTTGAGATTTGAAGTTGTAGTTTAGTATTTATCAAGCGCTGATGAGGCCATGCCACTCATCGATGGAGGGAGTGATATAAATTTATCAAAATGGCTAGGAGTGTTCGTGGTTGCTTTGAAGAAGGTCAGTTATGACATGTTGACTAATCAAGCAAACCTTTCCTCGAGAGTTTATTATTGTTCAGCATGATTAGCTGTTAAATATTAAGTAAACTGCAAATTGCCCTGCTGCAGAATGGCCTTATAAGCCTGAAATTCCAGAAAATCTAGTGTATTCCAACACTTTCTAAATGCTAATGTAGCAAATTTATGTAGCAAATTTATGTAGCAAACTTCTCACTTCCTTTCCTCTTTACATAAATTTTGCCCGAATATTTTCATAGGACATTAGAATGACATTATAAAGTTAATGTGATTGACAGCATTCAGGCTATTTGCTGGGCCAAATATATAATAAATAGCGGTTAGGTTTTGTGTAGCTTTGTGTCATATGTACAGCAGAGCATTTGCAATTTAACTTTTGTTTATTATGCAAATAACATGACATCATGCCATATAACCATGACATCATGTCGGTAGAGGGCATTGGATCAGATTGAGATGAGGCAGATAAGCTTGTTAAACAGTTAAGCTGCAATATATGCTATACATCATCTATCATGAATGGTGTTAACTACTAGGATGTCTGAAGGAGGGATGCAAGTTTGCTTCCAATTTCTTGCATGAGGAAGGTGTGAATGTTTCCTGGAATTAATCATTAATACATAACGCTTTCCCCTTGACAAGTCAGTGCATTTGAGTGCATTGCAGCTTACAGCAGTTTACAGGTAAAACTATGTGTTCACATGGTTTTAACACTTCATTTAGTGTTCCTCTTTGGAATTCCCAACTTGATTGCAATTTTTCTCATTACCTTTGCAAATTTGAAATACTTCCTTGCAAATACCTTGAGGGAATTTGCAATGTTCCTAAAAGCCGATTAAATTTGCCTCCATTCCTGTTAGAAGTTATTAACTTCCTGTTGCAAGTTCCTAACTTCCTGTTCTGTACTATGGGTTGTATAAATTGGCTAACAAATAGTTAGCCCCCCCAACATAAAAATTGTTTTGCTGGCCCACTGGTCCAATCTATATAAACCGAGACATCTTTTGCTTCTGTTTGCTCATTCTGTTCCATGTTAACTAATATTCCAACTAATAATATTAACTCATTGAGCTGCAATGCGCCCCAGTGCGCCCTATTTATTTTTTTACTTGTCTAAGCCAGACGATTTTACTTGTCTAACGCCAGACGATTTTACTTGTCAATGGGGAAGCGCTGCAGCTTAATGGCAGGTTAACCAAAAAATCTGACAATGTCTCTGGTTAACCCATTGAGCTGCAATGCACCCAAGTGCCCCCTACTTATTTTTTTACTTGTCTAACGTCTGACGATTTTACTTGTCAATGGGGAAGCTCTGCAGCTTAATGGCAGGTTAACCAAAAAATCTGACAATGTCGCTGGTTAACCCATTGAGCTGCAATGCACCCAAGTGCCCCCTACTTATTTTTTTACTTGTCTAACGTCTGACGATTTTACTTGTCAATGGGGAAGCTCTGCAGCTTAATGGGTTAATAAGTATTTATTGCTTCATATAGTGTTATTTTATAATTGTTAAGGGTGGTATGTATGGGACTTATCATCTCGTTTGCATCTTCCTTTTTGAGCCATTGGATAGTTTATGTTCGTGTTATACTGTGGTGCAATAAAGTTATTAAAATGAAAGTTAAAGACTTCTTAATTTAGGTTGCAAAAGAAGTCCAGCCTGAACTTGACACTAAAAAGGAGGCAATTGAATATGTTGAAAAATTGATCATACAACTCCTGGGCCATTTGTGCATAGTACATCCACATAGTTACAAAGACGTAGAGGAACGAGTGAAGAAGACATTTCCAAAGCCAATTGACCAATGGTGCATAGAGGAGGGACAACAAGCTGTGGGAAAGGGCAAGAAAAAAAATCCTCTGGTTTTACCAGTTGATAAAATACATCCACTACTACAAAAGGTAATACTTTGGATTGCACAAATGATCAGTTTAACCCTTCAAGTGGCTTGCCATAATGCCAAATTATTTTATTCATCAAGGGGAATATTAGACTTTACTGTTTTATGTTATTACACTTTTAGCCCAATGGCAGGCCTGTAAATTAGTGCTGGTCATCGGACATTGTCCAGCCAAATTTTATGGCTGGTCAAATCTCCAATCTCAAAAAATTGTTTATTTAACACATTTTTTACTAATGAAACCAACAAGAAAGCAATATAGACAGCACTTCTCCACTATTTTGTGCTGCATTAGTCCGTAAGATTTAATTCTAGATCTACATCACCTTAATTAAAATCATAGTCCATTAAAGTATTCCTGGATATAGATACAATTTATCTTGTTATTTCATAGGAAGTTTTAGGTTATAAAATTGATTATCCAGTGTCTTTATACATTGTGGCAGTGCTTGAATATATTTCTGCAGACATACTGAAGGTATAAACAAACTCAAAGATTTTGTTTGTTATGAAATTATGTTTATTAAAAATAGTCACATCTTTCTAAAACTGTGTTTCATATTCTTCCTGTAGCTTGCAGGGAATTATGTTCAAAATATCCGAGACAAAGTTATCACTGAACAACACATCAAGGTTGCCTTGTGTGCAGATAAAGTGAGTATTATCATCATTACAATGATCATTAATAATTGATTATCATAATCAGTCACCATTCATTAGAATCAATAATCTTTCATCGTTTATCATTAATTAAATTAATGACTACCGTAATTGATAATCATCAAATAATCATCATCATTATCTTGATCATCATAATCAATCGTTATCATCAATGTCAATCATAATCAATCATTAATTATGAACATTGTCAATCATCAATAATAATCAATAATAGTCAGTCATCATAATCAATAAACATCAATCATTATCATAATCATAATCATTGACAATCATCATAACCAATCATCATTAATTATGAATGGCAATTGATCATCAATTATTATCAGCATTGATTAGTAAATGATCATGATAACAATAATCAATGATTTTAACCAATTATCATCATCAGTCCTTAACCTTTATTAATCATAATAGTTAATTATCAATCTTTTATCATCAGCAATCTTCATAAGTTAATAATCATAAATCATCATTAGTATTAGTCAAAAATCATGAACCATAATATCATCAGTCATTATCAATAGTAATCAATTACTCATAATAATTGATCCATCACTGTCATTAATGATCAGTGTCAATCATCATCGCTCAATCATCTTATATGACTTGCCGACTTGGCCGGTGCATAAAAGTCAATTCTTGTACTCTGACTACTCTCACTAATGTACAATAGTGTATTTTACCCCGTTGTTGTTCACTTATTTGATTTATACTTCTGTAAGCTTGATCAGACATTTTTCTTTTGATAGGTGTTACTGGAAATGTTCGAAAGCGACGACCTTGAAACTTCGGCAGAAGATGAAGTATGTTTTGGAATTATATTTGCTTACAGTTCTATAACCTCTTAAACTTTTTATGAAAAAATCATCAAATGGGGAATAAATTGATTAACCATTAATAACACACAACACTCTCCCCTTAACAAGTAAAATCATCTGTTGTTAGACAGAGTAAATTGGGACGTTGCAGCTTAATGGATTAACAAGAGACATTGGCAAATAGTTTGGTTAACCAATTAATGCACAACACTCTCCCCTCGATGAGTAAAATTGTCTGGTGTTAGACAGAGTAAAATAATAAAATGGGGTACATTATGTGGGTTAACGTTGAGACAGCCATACTGTAACTTCGTTTTAGCCACTGGAAGAAAGACCAATCACACATCAAGATATTGTCAAAGAGATGATGGTTCTGGAACGTCAATATATACGAATTTTGAATATGATCATTTTGGTAAGGGATGTTGGTCAAATGTCGTACAGTGTAATAGGAATGTTTGGTATACCGATATACCGAAACTGATATCCAGTATTGAAACCAATATCGGTTTATCGGTATGAATTTTTCAATGTTCGGTATACCGTATCAACTTTACACACCATGCAATTATGGCAAAATCATCAATTTTCGGTAATTTAAAAGGCGAAAACCCGGTATACACACTATACCGTTTATATCGGTATAATTTTTCCGATACCGGAAAATTCTCATACCGAACATTTTTACAGTGTATTGAATCTCTAGTTCAATGGGAATAGTTTTAAATTTGGAAGCACAAAAAATACAAAATGTGTTGAAAAAGAATCTTTTTCTGTTGTTTAGGTTTTTAGACAATCTTTTGTTGAAGCAACAGATCAGCTTTTTACCGAGGAGGTAAGACTATGGTTTGTCTGAACTAAGGAAATTAAGGTAATAAGGCCCGATGTACTGTAGATGGCGAAATTTTCATGCGCCAAACCTAATCAAATTAAATACGCGGCACAAATTTGGAAGCTGATTTATAGATATCAGACGTTGCGGTTCTCATGTGCCGAACGCATTAAGAACAAGAGATAATCAGCTGAAATGCTTCATTATCTATTGTTTTTAAAGCATTCGGCACATGAGAAGCGCGACGTTTGAAACAGGCCTTAAGGTCCATACAGACCGAACGCAATTTGGCAACGCGACGCGAATTTTCAATGACATTTATTAACTTCAATATTTTTATATGTTTTCAAAATATTCTGAACCACTTAAGCAATTTTAGCTATTTGGTCTGCATATCTTGTAAAATTTTTATCTGTTGACGGTTTTATTTGTTTTTAAAAACTGAAAATTCCCGTTGCCTTATCGAATCGCGTTCGGTCTGTATATCGGACGCGATTCGACAACGCGACGCGATTTTTCGATTTTCACTGCCCGATAACTTAAAACTTAACACTGACCGATACTTTAAATTTTCCAAATATTTGGAAGCGCTATAGCATTTTGAGTTATTTAGTCTAGAGTACATATCTTTTAAAATTTGCTCTCATTGCGCTGTTTTATTAACTTTCAAAAACTAAAAAATCACGTCGCGTTGTCGAATCGCGTCCGTTGTGAATGGACCTTGAATTGTATCTTGCCAAAATTGCTAATACACTTGATCATATGATAATGCACAACTACCAATACCAAGAAATGTTTATCATGGAAATTTCCCTGCTCATTCTAATCTGCGTTTATCCTATCGATGCCTTCTTAATAACAAATATCAAGAACTTATAGTATGGTACTGTAGTATACAGTACTGCAACTAAACGTAGCTTGCTCAGCTATAATTCACCAAGAAAAAACTGGAAAAAAAAATGACAATAATAATTCTAATATAATGGTTTTGTTTGTGGAAACACCACGTAAATTTATTACTATTATTAAATTATTATTTTATTTATTTATTATTAATTTATTTTTTACGTGGTGTTTCCACAAACACAACCATTATATGTTTTATCGCCATGCAAACATACAAAGAACTTAATAATTCTAATACTGTCATAAGTTTCTTCCTTAGACTTGGTAAAATATTCCTGTATTGAATGTGGCAAAAGCCCTGCTTATTACTTATTCCGTTTACACTTGCAATTCTTACTTTTCTCCTTCTGATGCATGTGAACGAGTAGATGAGTTACGAATGTTCTGAGTTAGAGGTGTGCATCGGATAGGATTGGACGTTTATAATCCGACATTTGGCTAATGTTTAAAATCCGATCCGAAATTGTCTAATCCGAATCCGATCCGAGTTGTAATAAAGTTTTCCAATCCGATCCGAAGAATTCTTTAATAAAATAAATTTTTCATCCACGTTGAAATGTTTTACCAAATCAATAGAAAAACAAGAAATACATGTCAAGAAGCTGACAAAGTGACGTCCAATTGAAGTATCAAACGAAAAATGCGGCGACAACCGCGATAATGCTTTGATAAATGCATGGATAATTAATTCTTGCAATAATACGTGGATAATTAATTCATTTTATTTCGAATATCGAAGTTCGATCCGATCCGACTGCGAAACAACTTTATCGATCCGATCCGAAATATATATTTTTGTTCCGAAATCCGATCGGATTCGGATCGGATTTCTGAGTACATGTACCCTCATCTGCACATTCATAACTTATCCACTCGTTCACATCCATCAGAAGAAGAAAATCGCGCCTGAAATCCCAGCGAAAATTGCAAGTGTAAACAAGCCTAAAAGGCCTGTTTACACTTGCAATTTTTGCTGCGATTTCTAGCGTGATTTTCTTCTTCTGATGGATGTGAACGAGTAGATGAGTTATGAATGTTCTGAGTACTTGTTCCTTCATCTGAGCATTTTCACTCGTCCATTCTTTCACATCCATCAGAACAAGAAATCGCAACAAGAATTGCAAGTGTAAACGGGCCTTTAGAAAACTCGCAATGTTTGGTACGATCTAACTGAAACACTCTTCTGGCGCATGAATTAGACGAAATTTTAATCATTGCAGGAATCAAACTTCAAGTCTAGAGGTGAGAGACCGCCATATATTTTTGGTAACACATTTATTTATTTGCAGGATATTCAAGTGATTTTCACGAATATTATTGATATTTATGAATTCACGGTGATGTTTGCTGGTTTGTTGGAAAACGCGATAGAAATGGCAGATCAAGATCCTAGTATCGTAGCACCGATTGGCGAGTGTTTTGAAGACATGACAGAGGTTTAGTGTTGTTTGAAGTGGCTGGTTGTTGATTCTTTTACGTTTTAATGATCTTAAAAACTGGCGGCCATCTTGAAAACCTGCCTCTAGTCTATCCCCTTTGGCCACGACCCATGCAACAGCTATGAAGGTCATAAACAGTTTTGCTATTCCTATTCCCCATTTTCTGACAGACCGTATCGCTAAACAACCATAGTGTTATTCTTTAAAGTTTAAATTGATGTTAAAATAGTTTTTCTAAAGTTTGAACAGTTTCTTTAAAGTTTGTTTATAACTGCATTTTTAGGCGCAGGCGTTTGATTGTTATGAAACTTATTTAAATGCAAGAGTCACACCAACACCATCGGATAAACTTTATAAAAAACTGGGAATCGTTGGCAGACTGGGCGAACTTATGACGAGGCCTGAGGTCGCAGGATATTTTCAGGTATTACTTGCAAAGTTTGTGTTTTGATTTTGTGTGTGCTTACCTGGTACCACCAGCAAACCGTGTCCTAGCTGGTATTACCAGCAGACTTTCCAAGGTATTCAAAACCGGAATGTATAAATAAGCCAATGAACCTATTCCCTAATGAACAAAATTTTGATCTAGACAAACATTTCACCACAGCTTGAAAGAGCATCACAAAATTAGTAATATTCCGAAGTTTCGTTGCAAAATGTTGTAAAATGCGGATAATATACAGGTAGCACTGTGAAGTTTGCCGTTTTTCAGTCATTTTGTATTACGCAAGGGAAATTGATACCTTTTTTCAGAAAGCGGTATCAATTTCCCGAATTCCCGTGCGTAATACAAAATGACTGAAAAACGGCAAACTTCGCAGAGCTATATTATCCGCATTTTACAACATTTCGCAGCGAAACTTCGGAATATTACTAATTTTGTGATGCTCTTTCAAACCGTGATAAAATGTTTGTCTAGATCAAAATTTTGTTCATTAGGGAATAGGTTCATTCGGTGTTTCCAATGCGCATTTGAAGTGCTATTTATAATGATTTAAAAAATTAGAATATGCATATCAAACTATGGCAACAGCAAAAAATGGCAAAAACAATTCTTCTAATTTGCCTAATTTGAAAGAATGTTAAGATTATTTACAAATCCTTTTTGCCAATTCTCCCAAACTATCTTAATCACATTCTCGTCCCCAGAGCCATTTTCACTCGGCCACTCGTTGAAAATTAGACTCTGGGTTAGACAACTAAAGGGAGCGATCAGATTGGCTTCTCAGAGAACTGCCATTTCGCAGAAGTTGACAAATGCTTTCAAGGCCGGCGAGAGGCAACCACAGGCCCCGGGACAAATTGATGAACACGGGCCCCCACGAACATTTTACCGAGATTTCCTGGCCCTTCTGAGCACTCCGGGCCCCGGGTATTTTGCCCCCCTTCCTCTCTCCGGCCTTGAATGCTTTAGTATTTTTACAAAGTCTTTTGTGTTTTTTGGGACTGAATTTATTTTAGTGATTTCCACAAAACGGCTAGTCTCCATTATTAAATTTACCTGTGGGTGAATATACTGTAAGGGATATCACGTCAAATTTTACCAATCACCACGTCGAATTTCTTATATTCACTTGTGTAAAAATACTAATGATTTATGTTCATATACTTGATATGCATATTCTAATTCTTCCAGTCTAACTCTTTCAATAAACAATTATATGAAATGTGTTTCAGTCAAAAGGCGCAGATTTCCACGATGCAGTGAGATATGTGTTACCAAGACTGCTTTTAGAACCAATTGGACATTGCCTGCATTATATTGACTTGATCAAGGTGGGTTAAAATCATAGATACCTTATATACACTAGATAGTGCATCTAATTATTCTGCAATTCAAAAATTGAAGCCGTGATTGCAGACTCAGGATATTCCCATGAAATGAGAAGATTCGTACGTTTTCTATTTCTTAAACACGGAACTTAAACATTAAGTTTTAAAAACCTATTCCAAATACATTTTTAAACTATTCAAATGATGAAAGTTATTGTTGTTTTTTAAGCGTTTATTAGCGAGTGGGAACTACCAACATGGCCGCCATCTATTCAAATGGGGGTAACCGCTGGAATATTCTTGGCTTCAATTTTACTAAAAGAGATGCGCTATCTAGTGTATATAAGATATCTATGATTAAAATTCGAGATGTGATCCACGATACACGTATAGCTAAACGAGTTGGTTATACAGAGTGTCCCCATGCAAAAAATGCAATAGCTACTGTATGTCCCAGATTTTTACACACTAACTTAATTTTTAGTTGCGAATTTTTACACTACTATTATTAAATTTAGTCAAGTAGAGCAGTGTTATGTTCTATTTAAAACACGCGTAGGAGTGTTTTATCCATATTTTATCATATTTAATATGCGAGTGCGCAAGCGCGACCATTTTAGATATGATAAAACACGACTACAAGTGCTTTGAATAACACCGCGGAAAAACGCCTGCGCATGCGTCAACCTTACCTGTAATAGTATTGCTAACTTGATGAGAAGCTGTTCCGAACGTTTCCGAAGGCTCAAAATGGCGGTAAAAAGGAGTGACTTCATTGTGCGTCTTTACAGCCAGATTTCGAGCGCAAAAATAAACATGTCATTCTAAAAACTAGGTATAAATACAGCCAGAAGGTTCAAGAAATTGTATTGTACAAAAACATGAACTAAAGGTGATTATTGACAAATTTATCGTCTGAAACATTTTGTTTATCAACTAAGCAACGACAATTTCCGAATTTTCGTTTGAGATACATTTCTTTAAAAAAAACTGTGTCGCCAAATATAAAAAATTTTCGTGTTCACAATAATTAAACTTTAGGATCTATTCTACAATTTGAGTGGGTTAAGAAGCTTAACTTTTCGAGAGTTTTCTTAACTTTTTAGTTTGAATTTTTGTTTTGAATAATTTTGCAAAAAAATTCGAAGTCGTGTCCGTTAAAATCAACAATTGTTTACATGAATTATATTTTATTCCATACTTTAAATGCCAGGACGCTTTCAATTAATGTCTAGTCTACCCATTTGCTATATTTTCTCGTTTGTTTTACTAATTTTTGACCAATTAGATATTGATATTCAAATTCCCCGCCATATTTTCATAATTTGGTGCATGCGCAGACGTTTTTCCGCGGTGTTGCTTTGAATAGCTTCAAACGACAAACACGACTACAATAGATGCCGTCTCATTAGTATTCTCTATATAAAGGATGGACTTTTATATATAAATAATACTAATGAAGATGAGTTTTATTGGGTATAAAGCCTCTTCACGTGACATATTATGGTTGACATGATTTGCCAATAAGCTTATGAATTATCAAGGATATTCAAAGTGTTTGAATATTGGTTCAAAACTTTTGTAGACGCTGCAAAAAACCGCGCCGAATGATGAGGAGAGGAAAAGTCTAAGTGAGGTAGGATACAAATGAAAACTTGAATTAATTATTGTTCTTATTGTCGATTTCATATTACAAAGTGCGGTTCCCAAGTTTATTGTCAACTTGCCAATTACGTTTCCAAATTCGGAAGTTGGGCGGGAACTTCGCAACGAAGTTCGCAAGTTCATTTCAAAGTTCGAACTCCGATTGTAAACAAATGTTCATAGTTGGAGTTGAAATTACTGTATAAGGCCCTAGTCCTATGCACATATTACTGCAGTAAAATATTGGTCCAGTGGTCTCCAAAGACAAAAAATGCCAACTTCCGAACTTGACAACGTAATTGGCAAGTTCGCAACGAACTTGAGAACAGCGTGTTGAAAAGTTACCTGAAATAGACAATAAAGTCGTTTTAACTTAAACGATAAGGCAAAAAAAAATGTGGGTTTCCGGTTTCTTCGTATAAAAACGTAGGTAGGGTAGGTCGGTTTTAACTTTTTTTTTAACTTTTTTTTTTAATTTTCCGAACAAGCGGACGCCATTTTGTTTAGTCAGTGCTTCCACATCCAAAGATAAATTTCCCTAATATTGCATCAAATTTCAATTTTCCACAAACTTTTTCCTCTAAGTGGAAACACTTACAAGCATGATCCAGTGAGCTCTATATATATATCTGGAGTAAGAACTTCAGTCATTCGGTCAATGAGAAAAGTGAAGCCAAGTGAAGCCAAGATGGCGGCCATTGACGTCCAATAGCTCTGAAGGTCTTAAACAGTTTTTATACCATTTTCCCCAGCTAATTCCAGTTTTTTCTAATGGACCGTATCACTAATCAAGTTTTCAGTTCATAAAATCACAATATTATTCTTTAAATCGAAGTCAAAATACGAAATTTCAACACACTCCTTGCCAAGATGGCGGAAATTGAAGGAGCTCTTGGACGTCAGTTCCAGTCCCTTTCTATTGTTTTTGTATGCGCGGTTAACACGAAACTGGCTTCACTTTGAGCAACCAAGTTCCTACTCCAGATATATATGGAGCTCACTGGCATGATCCAATAAAAAAGTTTATGGTCGGGATTTCGACGTCCAAAAGCTAGGTAGGGTCGGGAAACCGGAAACCCACATATTTTTTTTTTGGCCTAAATAACTTATTTTTGCATAAAAAACTCCATTGCATTTAAGCCAGTTCCAGAGTCCTGAGCACCATTAATAATATGGACACAAATAAATGCATGTTCTTTGATATTATATTATGCCTCAGATTCAAAGTGTCCAATCAGAAAGCTAAGTTTGTGCCACGTGAGCATGAAATTTATTGAATTACACCTTACGTCATTTGACGTAGCGGATGATTTCAATCATATCACCCGGGTGATATGATTTGCGTAAACCACGCGCGACGACCACGCAAACAAGATGGCCGACAAAATATACTAAGGAGAGATAAATTATTAAGTTTTAAACTCGGTGCAAAGCCCCTCGGGAAATTTCATCACTTCGGGTGATATTTCGCCGAAACCCCCTCGCTCCAGGTCTATAAATGATAAGTGTACCACGTTTATTTTCTTTGTGTAGGCTCTGAGTGTGATTCAAGGACTTCAGGTGATTATAAGTGGAATATCAGCAACTGGCACTTTGGGAAGACCACGGAAATCAGAGTAAGATTGATACATGTGTAAAATTACAGGGCTTTTACAGTATATTATTCATCGCCCAAAATACAGTACAAGGCCTATTCAAACATAGCCATTAGAATGATCATACAAGGACATTAATATAAGCTAATCCAGCCCAACTACTTGCCTGGAAAACCTTTCCTAAGCTGGCCAATCCAAGAAACTGGGATTAACGTGGTCCTGACTCCCTTCCACTCCCCCCCCCCCTTCCTGCCACCCACCTACCCAGCCCTTGCAGATGGAGGGTGTTCCCAAATTAAGTAAATCTGAAAAATTCCCAAATTAAGTAATTTTGTTCGCCATAGTTGAAAGGGTCACCTCTTGTTTTGTTACCGAAAAATTTAGTGTTATTTATCGCTTTTTTTTTTTCATTGATTTAGTGAGAAATTTTCAAAAGCACAGAGAAGGAAATCGACAATAAAACCCTCACTGAGTAAACTACGAGATTTGCAAAAGAATATCGAGGGATGGGAGGTAATTTTAAAATTTTTGATTTTTTGAATTTTCGTCATAGAAAGGATTCGTAGCGGTCTTTGAAATCTTTGAAATCTTTGAAAGTCTTTAAATTGTAAGGTCTTCGAAAAGTCTTTGAACAAACAAAGAAAGTCTTTAAAGGCCTTCAAATTCAAATTAGTATTTGATACATACCATTCCCTTGTTGATGTCAAATAAAGCCCCGTTTACACTACGCACAATTTTTGAAACGGCACGGATTTGGTACCCGGTTCTTGGACTACCTATTTAGGTAGTCCAAGAACCAAAAAAGTGGTACGGTACCAAAAATCGAGCGTAGTGTAAACGGGGCTTAAATCGATTACATAAGATTTTTAGAGAGAAATGGCGCTGTTTCAACAGTTGATTGCTCTCAAGGTCTTTGAAAACTGAAAAGTCTTTGAAAATAGGCAGAAGAATCTTTGATATACTACGTGCTGTAGTTGAGGTTTTGGTCAAACTAGCTGAACCCTTAAAAACGAAAAGCCAGTTCCCCATACCAACTTCCACGGTTTGTTTGCTCGTAGGGCAAGGACATTTCTCAGTTGTGTACAGAACTTATAAAAGGTCAGTTTAAATTTTTGTTCATAACTTCTTAACAGTGATGTTTGTGATGTTACTCTGAGTATGCATCCACACCGGGCAAGCTGAAAAGTTTGCTTGGCCACAGTGGGAATCGAACCCGGGACCTATACTAGTCCAATGCTCTGCCAACTAAGCTACGTGGTCAAGTCGGTTCGAGTTGATGATATTTCGGAACTGAGTCTAGTTCCTTCGATATCAGTGTATTCTATGATATGATTTTTTTGTGTATGTGTATGTTGGTGTTATGTACTCAGGTGAATGTGATGTTTGTGATGTTACTCTGAGTATAATAGCACTATATATAACAGTACTGGGAGAAATCCCTGAGTATTTTGACTCAACAACGTAAGCCCGGATCAAGCGGATGAGAATTGGTAGTCACGCGAACTTGGTTAGCTGTTCTTAATGCTTTCAACACTCTCATGTATTTGATTTAAGTTGGAACACTCATCGAACCTTTATTTGGTTGAAGGGATACGGCAATATACAGTATATATTTTTATTTCATTTGAAAGAACTTTCAAAATCATATGCAAATCTCCTTTACCGTTTATTCGCATCTTGCTTATAGTTTTTGAAATATTTTCACTTAAAATAATTAGCTGTCCGCCATCTTGGATAAATTTTTATCTAATTATCCGTGATTTTAGTGACGTCAAAAGCATGGCTAGCCATATAAAAATACATCTAAATGACCAAATAACAGTAAATCTTGTTTGAAAAGTTGTCAGTCACTTTCTTATTTGAAATAGTTACCGAAGTATGATTTTGGGCTCATATCAACCAATTGCTCTTTGGATAAAATACTTGCGTGATCCTGCTTATGACGTAACATGCATATCCGCCAAAATCCAAGATGGCGGAATGCTCGCTGATTTGTGATTTTCTCTGTCAAAATACTCCAAAAATAATAAAGTTATAGGCAAGATCGGTAAAGGAGATTTACATATAATTTTAAAAGTTCTTCCAAATAAATAATAAATAAATATGTTGCCATATCCCTTTGATCTAGAACTTGAAATGTCCCCTGTAACAATGTATGACTGCCATCAACTCGCATTCTCGTTTGCAGCGGTGGAATAAGTATCGGACCACGGGACCATTGGTCCCAGAAAATTGTTTTAGATAATAGGAGAATTTCAGAGGAAAACCATGACCTCAGAAATGCAATAGGCAATTCCAGCTTTTAGTTTATGCCTGCAGGGGATGATGGGAAGTAAGGTATATTGCCGATTATGCTGAAAAATTTCAATAAAAACTACCGAAACAACCGAAATATTTCAATATTTACAAATATAAGCTATCAGTCCGTGTTTACACGCCGGCCACCATTTTTATTTTTTCAGCATAATCAGCAATGTGATACCTTACTTCCCATCGTCCCCTGTAGGCATAAACTAAAAGCTGGAATTGCCTCTTAATAGTGCGATAGTCAAGTGAAATGTCTTGTACTTTTTTAGATGGAACTCTTTCAAAAACTTCAAAGGGCGGAAGAGTAAGTTACAAGCAGATTGAGCATGACATGCTATTTTTTTCAGTCATAACCGCTTCATTTTAAAGGAGGTATAAATTTTTTGGCTTGGATTATTATATAGGTATCTGAAAGAAGGGTGTTTCTTCTTGACAACTTGATGATATTTTGTAAGCAGGTGAGTTCTTAAAAGAGGTTTGTTTTTCAACACTACAGCCTGCTGATAAATTGTCGTTTTTCCAGGGATTATTATTCCCAAATTAGCATGTCATACTGAGCCGTGAAACGTTTGAATTGTAGAATACAAGACATTCGTCATCAGGTCCTTTTCCTGAATATCGCTTTAAGGAAAAAATATTTCTCAGAAAATCTGAGGTCAAGGAACAAGAAGATACTGCAGGTATACTATATGATTGTCAGGGACATTTCTGTACAGTCAGGTACAGTGGAACCACGTTATTAGGGGTTTGTCCGTGTTTACGGGTGAGCATATGAGCGGGGTATCTGTATGTATGGAATATATGTACAATAACTTTATGGTTTCCGTGTTTGGATGGCCTGATCCAAACACGCGGGAATGTTGCGAGAGTTAGGAAAAGCGCGCGAAATCACAAGCCGAAGGCGGGTGATTTTGCGCGCTTTTCTTAACTCGAGTGTTTGGATCAAGCCATCCAAACACGGAAACCATAAAGTAATTGTTTTATAAAATAAAAACTTTCCGTGTTAAACTGATTTCTTTAAAAAACTTTCACTTTAAATTTCCTTGTTTGGATGACCAAACACAGGTTTCGACCAATCAGAGCACGCGTTATATACATGTTATTTTATAATGTATTGTCTTGGGGTTTGGTCGGGACTAAAATAAGTTATCTCTTATATGTAATAAAAATTTGTGTAGATTGTGGACTTGTAGTGTGAGGTACAAGATAGTCATATATATTATCAAGGATATGGATCCAGCTACAATCTTGAATAAAAACCGTAGAATGACGGACGTTTTTCTTCTAATATATCACCTCCTCCCCCCCCCCTGTTTTTGTGTAACAGCTGGAATAGCTGGAATAGCTGGACATCTGGCACAACATTACCGGCACCAGGGGGGGAGTATATAGATTTATGGGAAAACTAGTGCAATCGTTCAATCATTACACGCCAAGTTAGTAGATCTGGTAGGTGGTCGAGCTTTGGTCATGGTTCAGGGTACGACCGTTGAGCAAGGTCACTAGAGGGAGCTACGACAGCAAGAGACTAGTTTGTAGTCTTGCTTGACAATTTCACAATCATGTTACTGTCTCATTTTGTCGCTATTTTATTTTCGTTTTTGTAATAGGCGATTCCAGCTTTTAGTTTAGGCAATTCCAGCTTTTAGTTTATGGGGGATGGGGAAGTGAGGTATCATATTGCTGATTATGCTGAAAAATAAAAATGGTGGCCGTGTAAACATGGAGTGATAGCTTATACTTGTACATATATTGAAATATTTCGGTTGTTTCGGCAGTTTTTATTGAAAATTTTTCAGCATAATCAGCATTATGATGCCTTACTTCCCGTCACCCCCTGCGCGCATAAATTAAAAGCTGGAATTGCCTATTGCCTTTCCAAATAGTAGAATGAATTTGACAAGGATATTGGCATCTCCCTTGCAATCCCCTTTGCCAAGGCTAGGAGGACTGCACAATACCTGCACTGCCCCCCCACCTCCCCTTTACACGCCCAGTAAATCCATTCCTGGATATTGTATTAAAAAGACTATCAGGTGTATTATATTTCTTTTTCCAGAAACCAAACATGCTGTAGACTTTACGGATGGAGAAGGCCCTATCGTTACAATCAAGTTTAAAACTTATCAGGAAAAAGAGGAGTGGATGTCCTCAATCATGAGTGTTTATTTAAAAAGGTAGTTATTGCCTCGAAACAGATCGAGGTCGGTTGTACGAAATTGTCCGTTGATTAATCCGTTCGTTTACTTTTTCGTAAATTTCTCCAAATTTTAGCTATAATTAGTAGTTTTTAATCAGTGTCACATATTTTAGTTCTTTTTCCTTCCTATCCAATTCATGTTTTGCCGACTACGAACAATTTGCCGACTTGCCGAGATTCAATAATTTGCCGACTACCTGACCACTGAGGGGGTCCACCCCTTTAGCGCCGCCCCTGTATAAACCATCGTAGGAAACTACTAGCCAACACATAATCCAAGACCAATGCACTAGCATCGAAAACACAAAGAGTGCAATGGAATAAAACGTATAGTACAATTGCACTCGCAAAGAGTGCAATGGAACGTATCCCATTGCACTCTTGGGAAATGGCATTTTCTATTCAATATCACGTGACCATAAACAGCCAGATAAGAATTCAATAAGGTATTATATAATATATGTTAATTTATTCTTGTATATTTCACTTAGTACCCTGGATAGATTACTTGATAAGATTCTACGAGAACATGAACAGGCAACGCCCTTGCGGTTACCAAGTGTCGAAGAATATTGGTGAGTCACTGTTACGCATAGCGAGACATACCTCTATTGATCTAACAGCAGCGTTCGCAGCAGTCTTTGAAATCCTTCTTTAAATTTAAATGTACAGTAGGTCTTTAAGGTATTTGAAAAGCCTTTGAATTGTATGAAAAAAAAGTAAAAGGTCTTTAAAGGGAAATGGCATTATATTTTTTTTATTTTCTCGTTTGAAAGAACATTTAAAACCATATATAAAACTCTTGTACTGTTTTTTCATATCTTCCTTCTACAAATATTTTAATCGAAAGAAATGAAATTCCCGCCATCTTGGATTTTTGTAGATTTACTTCACTTTTTTTTATCGAGACAACCACTAATCATTTTGCACTCAAAATTATACTCTGTATGCCCTTGGAAATATCAAGATCACTTGAAACCTTTAAAACATCTACTAATCAATATTTGGTCAGCAACGAATACGTCTATATGGTTAATCCCTGTTGTGACGTCACCAAAACTACCGTTAATGAGATCAAAAATATATCGAAGATGGCTGCCATCTCATTACTTCAAGTGAAAATATTTCAAGAACTAAGCAAGATATGAAGAATCGGTAAAAGAAGTTACTGTATTAAATAGTTTCAAAAGTTCTTTCAAATGAGAAAATAAAAAAATATATTGCCATCTCCCTTTAAAATTCTAAAATTCGTCAGTGAGCATTGATGTATTATCGAATACAAGATGCATCCTAAGATCCTAAAAGGAAAGGACTAATTATGGAGTAAAAAAGTAACTTACAATCGCAATTTTTCGACAAGTGAGTCCTCTCAAAGGGCTTGAAAAAAGTCTTTAAAAATAGCAGAAAATTATTTGCACTTGAAAGTCTTTGAAAATAGCAGAAAATCTTTAAATTTTTGCGAAGTCTTTGAATTTTTTGCCTTGGGGACTACAAATATACTGTAATAACTAAACAAGTCTCCTGCTCCTTGGCATTTGCCAAGCATCACCTTAGGGTGTCCACTCCTAACCTGCGAACAGGCATGCTCTGGGTAAGAGATTGAAACAACTGGGGAAAATGGGATATTATTTTAACACTTCGATTCGATCTAAGATCACTTTTTTTCTTTTCATTCATAAATCTAGTTCGAACTTATCATGATCGGAACTATGTTTTCTGAATATTGACATTTTGACTTTCAGTTTTGCGGAAGAAGATCGGGAAGATAATATAGTTTTTGAAGAGAAACAGGTATGCTCTATGCTGTTTAAATACGCCATATGAGACCAAAGTCATAATCAAATAATATTCATGACTAAGTCAAAGTCATAATTCAAATCAGCAAACGAAAACATTCTGTTACGTCTCGATTCATTTGAGAAGCCATATAAACAACTCGAGCTCGTGTCTCACTGGGATATCCAAACACTCGAAAACAATGTATGAAAACACTCGCGCTTCGCGCTCGTTGTTCATATATTGCATCCTAATATATTGCATCCTGGATACTAATAGCTGTTTTGCAAAATTGAGAACAATTTCAAATCTGTTCAGTTCTTTTTATTCACCCTGTATATACTCCATATGAGACCAAAGTCGATACCCCACATCGTAACTAGGTACTTATAGTAACAATTGTTTTCTAGAATTCCGGAGGTGTTCCTGTGATAAAAGGAGGAACGTTGGTGAAACTCATAGAACGACTGACATATCATAAATATTCAGGTACCTAAGTATCCATTAGGATTTTGGGCCCCTCACTCGATAGACATAACTGTTGAAGGGTTTTGTAGATGGAAATTTCGAGTGTAAATTTTATACATTTGTTATTGGATTGTCTTCTGGATTGTCTATGATTTGACCCATTCTCGTACCCAGAGCCCTTCTTACGCGCGGTCAGCGACGAGGGGCTCTGGCAAGGCTCAAAATTATGGAAAACTTACTTATCGTGGGACAATTCCATTTTGCCTTCATATTGTGCCCTGAAGGCTAGTAAGTACGTTTCTGTATGTTGGCCGCGTTAAAATTTCTTGTGGGCTCCTGCCGACACGTTTTTCTTCGAATTTTGTATTAAACTCTATTACAGTTAAAGGTGATCTACAGTCCGTATGTAAACAAAGCCTTTGTTTACATTTTTGTGTCCAAAATAGGGAGCTTTATTCGACAACTATTTATATTTTCAAGCTTCTAGAGTATAATAAATTATCAAGAAACAACAATCAGGCTTTTCAAGAACTCAAAACATAGTTAAACTGTTTGTATCATAAAAAGTGGGCTCATTTGTGCACATGCGCAGATCGGACTGTAGATCACCTTTAAATTGAGCATGCGCAGTGTTTTATAACCGGGTACCATGTTTTTATGGTATCCGGTTTGGATTTTGCCAGAGCCCCTCGTCGCTGACCGCGCGTAAGAAGGGCTCTGGGTACGAGAATGGATGAGACCTAACCAGGAGCAGTTGCGAATAATGCAACTGAAGGTCCTCTAGCCTGCCTCGTCCCCAGGCGCTATAAAAAGATTTCACATACGAGTCACTATATAAAAGATTTACATGACGTAGTGCGTCATTATAGGCGCGCAAAGGGGGTTTCGCTGCCTCAACCCCATAAACCCCTGCGCTACACTGCAAAAAACGTCCAGCCTGTAACAAAGTTGTTGAAAACAGGTCTGAACAATATTTTGCTGGCCATATTGTTCCTGGTTGTTAACAATATTGTTCGGCCTGTTTTCATCAACATTGTTACAGGCTGGACGTTTTTTGCTGTGTACGTGTTCGTCGCGATGCACCACTTCATGTAAACCTTTTATATAGGAACTCGTATGTGAAATATTTTTATAGCGTCTGGGGACGAGACAGCCCTCTAACAGCAACGCGAACGTGCGATTCCGGTGCAGCGCTCTATGACCTTTATCCAACTGAACTACCTAAGTATCTAAACTATATACCAAATTAATTTAACAAAACTAAACTAACTTTGTTTGTTATTGTTTCTACCTCTCAAATCATTCATGGGCAGATTTACTGGGGGGTTAATGGGGTTGAACCCCCGCCCCTAGAATCTCTCTAACCCCTTTAATAAAGTGTTCAACCCACCAAAATTTCGCTTCACCCCTCCTATTTTGTGCGAAAGGCTTTAACCCAAACGCCTAACCTCTGCCAAAGGTCACTGAGTGGTGCCACTTGCACCCCGCCAGAAATTGTTCTACCTCTCCTTTTAAATAAATGAAAATCCGCCCTTGAAATCATTAATAATTCATGAACAAAACACAAAGGAAACCAGCACCGTATCGTTGTCTATCCTTTGCAAACTTAAACTCTAAACTTTAAACTCTAAGCGCGCAAAGCTTAATGGGAGCACAAGTTTCAAGCGTAGCAGTTGAATATTGCAGCTATTTGTGAAGATATTTACCAGGTCTCCAAGAAATGGGCCCCTTATAGGATTTCTAAACTGATTAAATGATGCTCCAGGCACGGATT